GTCTATCTACTTCCAGATAACCTTCTGTTGTCCTTCTGTTACAGACTTCAAAGAGTCCTTTGGTCTCTTCGACAGAGTTGGTGACAGCAAGGTTGCCTTCAACCAGGTTGCTGACATCATGCGTGCCCTGGGACAGAACCCCACCAACAAGGACGTGAAGAAAATCCTGGGTGACCCATCCGCTGACGGTATAAGACTTTATATTAAAAACGAACGGACATCATTCGAAATGCTTTACAAACCCTCACTGATTTGTGATGTATGTGTGGAACTATATGCACACAGATATGGCCAACAAAAGACTTGACTTTGAGGGTTTCCTGCCAATGCTGAAGATTGTTGACGGCATCCAGAAGGGTACCTATGATGACTACGTTGAGGGTCTGCGCATCTTTGACAAAGAGGGCAACGGCACAGTGATGGGCGCTGAGCTGCGCATTGTGCTGGGTACACTGGGTAAGTGAAGATGAAATGATTATGCAGTTCACACCATGCATGGGAAGGCAAACTGCATAATATACTGTTGCATAATATATAATATAATGTTACATAATATAATTACAAAACAAATTAATGTATCTTAGCACAGTGATCAGTTGGTAATATCATGGTGTTTTGAATTACCATTAAAAGGTTTGTGGTTGGTAATGTTGTTTTTGAAAGGAGTCTGTAATGCTCACCAAGGCAAAATACAGTAAAAAATTGAAATATTATTACAATTCTATTTTCATACATTTTAAAATGTATGTTATTGCTGTGATGCAAAGCTGAATTTTCAGCAGCCATTGCTCCAGTCTTCAGTGTCACATGATCCTTCAGAAATCATTCTAGTATCCTGATTTCGTATTATTATCACTGTTGAAAACATTTTTGATTCCTAATACTTTTGGAAACCTTGATGCAGTCCCAAAATGAAATTCATGTGCCATGGTATTTAAATGTCTAAGTACTACAAAAATAGCATGATACATGGCAAAAATATATGTATAATTTATAAAACACATAATTGTGTAATATTTAATATTTTATTATAATAAATAAATAATACGATTATGAATAATGAATATATTAATTTGATTAGGAGTTCTGAATTATTACCATATTTATATATGATTATCACCACATTTATATAGATAGGTAATCCGGTATTACCATGGTACATGTCCAAAAGAGCATAATATTACTACGGTATTTTGTATTAAGAAAAAAGTATAGGAAAGATTTATTCCTAACCAATACCTTTCATGACACTGACAGGTGAGAAGATGTCTGAGCCCGAGATTGAATCTCTCATGCAGGGACAGGAGGATGAGAACGGCAGTGTCCACTATGAGGGTACGTGTTTGGATAAGCCCTTCCAATTCAACCCTTCTAACTTGTTTTAGGACACATTGCATAACAGTGACTGCACTGGGTCTTTTCTGCACTAACTGAAATTATATAATAAGCTCACCTGTCACTGAATCATTACGACCGTTATTTTTAGCAGCCACCTCAGTCAGGCCTTGTATGGCGAGCCAGTAGGGACGATCATTCCTTATGCATGTCTGCTTCTCCTCTTACAGATTTCGTCAAGCACATCCTGTCCGTGTAAGAGGCCATCCATTGAGAGAGTGGTGAAGAAGGCTGAACTATATCTGCAGACCCCATGGTGTCAGGACATCCATTCTGTTTTGAAGACCAGTCAATAAAAAGGACTATGGGATGTCACTTCTAAACCATTCTGTTATTTTTCCTTTATTTGTTTTCTCCCCTCTTGCCCACCTTTTTGGAAGTTACTTCGTCCACTCATGAGTTGACCCTCCTTGCCTTCTTGTTCCGGCCGTCCACAGTAGGATGGAGACCGGGGAAGAAGGAAAAGGCCACTCATGAAGTGAGGGTTGGTTTCTTCTTTCTCCACCCATCCAGGGTTACAACAGCACCACTAGCTGTGTGTTAAAGGCACATGTCATTGCTGTGGCCAGGCTGCCAATTTTTCCCCATCCCAATTTTCACACAGTCATTTCACAATAAACTTTTTTTTCCAAAAGTACACCAAGTTTTTCCTTTGTATGCTAATGAATTTGGTCGTAACATGAAACACAAATATATCTGTTAAAATATTAGAAAAGAAACACCGATATGGGTGATGCAAGTTTGAATTCTGCTTTCATCATTTGCCGATCCCAATCAGTGGTAAAAGTCCAAAAATAAACATAAAAATGCTGATGCATGTGTATCTTTAAAAAGAATTTGCTTAGTCGGAGGTAAAATTCACCCATACTGAAAACAGTCTGTCTGAAACTGCTTATGATGGTAAGTTGTGTAAGGAAATGTATAGCAACACATTACTATCATTATAAATGAATACAGCTGGACATTAATATAGAAAATTTGAGTCTCATATGCAATAAGGTCCCACCTAAAAGCCAAAATATATGGTAATGTTTTTTACTGCCTGTTTTCTTATGAAATACAGGTGGCTCCCAAAGAAACCTCAATATTTCAAGTGACTTTTATCATTAATAATGGTAACACTTTACAGTAAGCTTCCATTTGCTCCTAACATTAATTGACTACATTAGTAAATGTAGTTGTAGCCAAAAGCATGTTATCATCACAATTTTGGACATAACACCATGGTAACACTGTGGTTTTCTTTGAATTACCATGGAATATGAATATTCAATATGGTAACATTTAGCACTTGGTAGCCTACATGCTAGGCTACCCTGTCTCCTCATTCCTATCAAAATGTCAATACACTTTAAAATGTGTTTGTTTCTTTAAAATCATTCCAACCGATCACACATCTTTCAGTTTTAAAACCTTTATTTGGTGAAAAATTCATGTCATCTCCCATCCATGTAGGCCAGAATAGAATAGCCTACATCATTGAATCAGCAATGAACTGACTGTTTTCTATTGTCCTCTTGCATTATCAGCACACGTTTTTCCTTATTAACACTGTAAAGCTGCTTTGACACAACCTGCATTGTATAAAGCGCTATATATATATATATATATATATATATATAGTCAATTATATTATTGCAAATAATAATAATAATAATAATAAAATAAATATGCTGGGTCGTTATGCTCTCTCTGTACGCTAGATTGCGCTGTTTCTCCTCCCGTCGAATGATGTTCGTAAGCGGAAGAACAGAAGTGACTTTTTTTTTTGTTCTCTCCTACATCAGGAAATTCAGCCGCAGTTGCATATATCCAAAGATTACAAGTCAACATTCAGAAAAGGATAAATAATTATGTATCAGTCTTTACATCAGAGCTGACAGCAATTTTATTAGCAATTCAATGGGTGGAGGAAGTTAAGGCTACAAGGGTAGTGATTTGTTCGGATTCCTTGTCAGCTTTAAATAGTTTAATAAGTGAACAATCAACATGAAGAAAGGATTTCATCTATGAAGTACTTATACATCTGCTTAGGACCCAGGAAATTGGTATAGTCCTGAGGTTCCTATGGGTACCTGCACATGTAGGAGTAGAAGGAAATTAAATAGTTGATAAATTGGCCAAACAAGCAATGAAACATGTGAACGCTGAGGTACAAATTCCACTGAGTAAAGTAGAAATAAAAGGAAGAATTAAAGAACACATGAATAAAAAGTGGCAGGAAATGTGGGACAAGGATTTAAAGGGCAGACAATATCCAAAAACAAGTTGGCAAAGGGAGAATATGCTTTAACAATAGAAAAGAAGACATAATTATTACTCGACTTCGAATAGGACATTCTGGTTTAAATCATTCATTATTTACAACAGGGAAACATCAGTCAGGATTATGTACTTCATGCAGTGAAGCAGAGACTATTGAGCATGTAGGCTACTTCTAAATTGTGCAGTATATACCAAAGAGAGGAGTTAGGCTGTTTAAAGGGTTAGTTCACCCAAAAATGAAAATTCTGTCATTAATTACTCACCCTCATGTCGTTTCAAACCCGTAAGACCTCCATTCATCTTCGGAACACAAATTAAGACATTTTTGATGGAATCTGAGAGCTGTCTGACCCTCCGATCTCCTTGCTACGTCTCTGGACTTGGGAACATTTCAGTTGTATTGCTGTCTGGGTCAGACAGCTCTCAGATTCCATCAAAAATATCTTAATTTGTGTTGCGAAGATGAACGAAGGTCTTACGGTTTGAAATGACATGAGGGTGAGTAATTGATGACAGAATTTTCATTTTTGGGTGAACTATCCCTTTAAGAAACTGAGAAACATAGGAGTATTTAATTTCACTATATCAAATCTTTTAAGTTGTGCCTCAGGACAGACAAGTATTATGAGATAAATTCTTAGTTATCTGCAGATAACAGGATTAGAACGTAGAATTTAAATGTCATATTAATACTACCCTTTTTTTCTCCCTCTTCCCCTTTCCCGTTAATGCTTCACACTCCAGTCCAGTTGGTGGCGGTAATACACTATAAGTTGGCTTGTCAACCGCCATTAAATCGTACAAGAAGAAGAAGAAGCAATGACCCTAAGCACACAGCTAAAATAACGAAGGAGTGGCTTCACAACAACTCTGTGACTGTTCTTGAATGGCCCAGCCAGAGCCCTGACTTAAACCCAATTGAGCATCTCTGGAGAGACCTAAAGATGGCTGTCCACCAACGTTTACCATCCAACCTGGCAGAACTGGAGAGGATCTGCAAGGAGGAATGGCAGAGGATCGCCAAATCCAGGTGTGAAAAACTTGTTGCATCTTTCCCAATAAGACTCATGGCTGTATTAGATCAAAGGGGTGCTTCTACTAAATACTGAGCAAGGGGTCTGAATACTTAGGACCATGTGATATTTCTGTTTTTCTTTTTTAATAAATCTGCAAAAATGTCAACAATTCTGTGTTTTTCTGTCAATATGGGGTGCTGTGTGTACATTAATGAGGAAAAAAAATTAACTTAAATGATTTTAGCAAATGGCTGCAATATAACAAAGAGTGAAAAATTTAAGGGGGTCTGAATACTTTCCGTACCCACTGTAAGTAGAAGGGAACAAGTCATTTTAACACGTATACGAACAGGACATTCAAATCTTAACCAAACACTATACATTATAGGGAAACATAATACTGGTCTATGTAATGTTTGTTTAACAGAGGAATCAGTGGAACACGTTATGATGATATGTACAGCATATGAAAGAGAAAGGGATCGACTTAAAGATGAATTACAATCCTTAGGAGTTAAAGAATTTTCATTAAGTAGTATTCTGAATGATGGTCCAAATGCAGGAAAACAAATAAGTGCAATCATGAGATTTCTTAAGAATTGTGGAATAATGAACAGAATTTAAGATTTAGGTGAGAAATGGTACATTCTCTTCACACTCCATCACAGTAGGTGGCGGTATGCACCTATGAAGTTGGTTCGCAACCCGCCATAAAACCAAAAGAAGAAGAAGAAGAAGCCGTACGTGCTAGAAGCAGATTCATAGGATGGCGAATGTGAAGTGCTGCAGCGAAGGCCCCTCTAAAGAAGGAGGTGAAACTGTCAAAACTGTCTTTATTTTGCAATTAACTTACAATTGAAAGCCTTCGAGAATAATGCTTGTATTTGTGAATGTAGGTATTAAGCTATATAGCCGTAGATTTAGACTTTCTAAGTTTAGCAAGCTAACGTTAGCTTCGTTAGCTGTTAACGAGCTGCTTTTTCAGTGCTGTGTTTTCTATGGAGATGCGTAATATTTAACACGTTGGATTTAAATCAACATGACTAAATGCATAGCATTGTTGCATATTATAAGTTCAGCGGAGTTTTGTTTAGTAAAGGTTTGATCCATAATCTAACACAAGCTCGAAAAAGTATCTTGGGGTTTTGGACTTGGTTCTACCGTAGAAGTCATTTTTGGAAGTACATTCAAGTACCATGTAAATAATGTGGTACATAATTCAGTACCATGGTGTATATCAAATTACCATTTTATACTTCCATTGTGGTATTCTTGGTAATGCTTATACACTATACAATAGTACTGTTAAAGTACTATGGTGTAGTGAATCTACTTTGGAGTACCATGCAAATGACATAGGTGTCATGGTGATAATTCAGTATCATGGTGAAGTACTCCGGTATTACCATCTGATACCGTGGTACTGCCATATTAATGTTTGTAATGGTAGACAATGGCACTGCTCAGCTTCAACATGTTGCTGAAAGCAGCCAGATGCATTTTATGTTGCATCATTTGAGACTGTTTAAAGACAACAAGTGCTAATCAAACTAATCAATTAGATTTTAAGCTCAACAGCGTCTCTCTGAGCAGGTCCTCCTGGCATCCCTCATCTTTCAGGTAACTGTAGCTCACCGTTGGTCTCCAAGCCAACAGTCGCTCACCTTGGTAAGTTGTTTCGCCTCCAGCAGGACCGGAAGAGAAGGGAAGCAGTGTGAAAACTAAGACTGTCTCTTCCAGCACGGCATCAGGGGACAGTCTGCGAAAGCGGTCTGCTGATGAGATTGGCCTCGAAGATGAGTCTAAAAGTAAGCCAGCACCCCCTAAAATGTCTAAAGCGGGGTTTAGCATGACTGCGAAGAAGTCTGCGCCAATCTCTATCAAGCTGGGAGCAAGCGTATGTATATGTTTTTTTTTTTTTTGTATATATGCATTTATATATAAGTAGTAGTGTTTATATATGTTATTTTGTATACTTTTTTAAGAGTTTTTAAATTTTAAACATTTAAAAAATTATATTTTATTCCTTCTCTTTTAGAAACCTAAAGAACCCACACCTGCCTTACCTGCCAAGAAAGCTGGACTGGCATCTGTTTTTAATGAGGATGATGATGTAAGTATGATTCTAGAATTTATTTATTTAATATTAATGCTGTCATTGTGATATTTATCATTTTGTAGTAATATATAACACAATATAAATGAATATCATATGTTAAAAGACCAGTTTTTACTTTTCAGAGCGAGCCTGAAGAAATGCCACCTGAGGCAAAGATGAGGATGAAGAATATTGGCAGGTTGGATTTAATATTTTTAATACTTTTCATTTTAGATTTCACAAGATGACAGCATCTTCACAAGTTTTTTTGATTTTCAGAGAAACGCCCACATCAGCTGGACCCAATTCCTTCAACAAAGGAAAGCAAGGATTCTCAGACCATCAGAAACTTTGGGAGAGGAAGCTTAAATCCCAGGCAGATCAGTAGTGTCCGGTTGCTTACAATAGCTTGCTTTTTGGCATTGAAATATTTGCCCTTTTGTCTCTTCGTTTGATGACAATTGTACAAATGTATATATGTAATGAATGTTTACGCTATAAAGCATCTTTTTATTGTAGCTAATTAGATTTTTTTTAACCACACTGTGGTTAAATAATACCTTCTTGTGTAAGATGCAAATCACAACAGAGAAATTAAGAATAATCTTTTTTGCTGTATAATATGGTATGTGCCACACTGACCCCTGTTATCATTTGCTTATAGTATAGTTGTTCTCCAAAGGAATGTAGTGGTCCAGTCATTCAGTTTCATTCATAGAAATGAAACAAGACGTTGTATTTTATAGTTACTAATAAATCAGAGATGTGGTATCACATTGAAGTTTTTTTTTAAATGTTGTAATCGGGTAGTAGTCAGGTTTTGAAAGCAGAATTAAACTTCGTTCACCCATTTACTCAACTTCATATAATTTCAAAACTCTGCATTCTGTGGAACCAAAAACAGATATTTTAATACGAACATTGGGGACCAAAGAACATTTAACCCCACTGAATTGTATTTATTTTTTTAATTTGTGTTCCACAAAAGAAAGAACGCCTTACAGGTTTGAACAATGTGTAGGTAAGTAAATTATGAATATTACTAATTATGTCATTCAGTTTCATTCATAGAAATGAAACAAGACGTTGTATTTTATAGTTACTAATAAATCAGAGATGTGGTATCACATTGAAGTTTTTTTTTTAAATGTTGTAATCGGGTAGTAGTCAGGTTTTGAAAGCAGAATTAAACTTTGTTCACCCATTTACTCAACTTCATATAATTTCAAAACTCTGCATTCTGTGGAACCAAAAACAGATATTTTAATACGAACATTGGGGACCAAAGAACATTTAACCCCACTGAATTGTATTTATTTTTTTAATTTGTGTTCCACAAAAGAAAGAACGCCTTACAGGTTTGAACAATGTGTAGGTAAGTAAATTATGAATATTACTAATTATGAAAAGATACTACAACGTAGGAGCTAGGCCTTTTTGACATTGGAAAACAGTGAGTGCATTCATATTACATTGATGCACTTCAGAGGCCAAAAGCAGCTGGACAACATTTCTAATATTCGTTATTAAATAGATTAAACCGAGAATCCACCATGTATTGCATGGTTCTTCATAAAGTGCTCAATTGCTATTTAAAAAAAAAAACAACTGCATGCATGTTTACATGTTTGTGCTCCATGCTGATTATCATAAGCATATGATTTTGTTGCATTAAATCTGTTGCAATCAACAATAAGAATTGAAGTCTAAAAGGTAAGCAAGCAAAAAAAAAACAACTGCATGCATGTTTACATGTTTGTGCTCCATGCTGATTATCATAAGCATGATTTTGTTGCATTAAATCTGTTGCAATCAACAATAAGAATTGAAGTCTAAAAGGTAAGCAAGAGGCAGCGTGCTTTCATCAGACGATCCTGGCGGCTCAGTAAGCTCTCGCTTTTGGCCAATGTCAAAGTCTTCTTTGAGCAGATTGTCTACATCGTCTTTATTTTGCAGCAACTGCAACATGTTCCTTTGAAGCTCCAAAGCTGCTTTCTGGAGCAGCAGATAGCGGATCACCATTGGGATCTGGTCAGCTAGACGCTTGCTTGCAATCTGATGAGGTTGAAAAGACAAAATCTAAAGATATATATAACAATTTGAGCTACATCTGGGGTGTATTCCAGAAAGCACGGTTAACTTACCGTCAGCTAAACCCTGAACTTTTGGTTGATTAACCCCAAACCTTGCTTACTCGAGGTATGTGGTTCCAAAAACACGTCCGGGAGTAAGTTCATTCAACTCCGAGTATGTTCCTGGTTAAGACTCAAGACATTCTCAACAGAGCGACGAATCGACGAGTCCCTATGGAAACGAACGCCAAGAAAACGCGCGCCATGCTGTTTCTTTCTTTCTTCTTTTGTTCAATGGTCGTTTACATGCTTAGAGCATAACGCCTCCTAATTGATGGTTGTGCAATCATTTTTCTTTTTTTTCCGTTTAATCTTTAATCCTTGAGAATATGAATTATATTGTTTGTTTGTTTGATGATAATTATATATTAAGTCATATCAGATATGTATTTTTTATTATAGAAATACATGATAGAAAATGCCGATCCACGTGTGAGATAATAATATAAAATGTAATAAACATATATGAAGAGTTCATTTGCAAAAACAGATAACTCCGTTTTTAACAATTCTCAGAAATCATGTTTTTTCACTGTGCATTCCAGTTAATCTCAATCAAACTGCAGTTGGGTTATTCTGACTAGGTTAAAAAATAACAAAAAAAAACAAACAGCTAACTAACACAATAAAAACATGGTAACATAATAAAAAACATGATTTTTTTACCATTTTAAAAAGTAAAGAGTTAATCCGTTTTTGCAAATAAATTCTTCATATAATATAATAAATTAAACATTACCTTGTCATAATAGTGTTTTATAATTTATACAGATAACTGTTATATATGCCAATAAAATAAATATAATAACCATATTAGAATATTACCTTATTTATTACTTATATTAGTGCTTTATAATTAACATAACATACAACTATATATATATATATATATATTAGTTGTATGATATGTTAATTTTATATATATATAGTAGGCTATATTACATAACTATATTGTAATATCATATAATGTTGTGCGCTATCTGTCACGCCCACTGAAGGCTCGTCAGTAGGTCACGTGTGCGCTGATGGCTCTGAAGTGAACAAACCCTGGAACATATCTTCAGAGAGCAAGTTACTATGGTTACTTACATACCCTGAAAGTAACCTCCGATTTTGGAACCGAAAGCTGAGGTTATCCGCTCTCTTATCCTCAAACATACCCGGGTATGTCACATAACCTGCTTTCTGGAATACACCCCAGATGGCACTGAAAGCTTTAGTTGGCACTCTTACCTTGTTAGTAGTACTCAAGGTGCAACCTCATGTCACGCAAGGTGGCATGATTGTCTGTGATTATGTCTACGCTCATGCAATTAAAGCTTTTAGTTTTTTCGTCCTCGTCCAGCTTATCCTTTGCATCTTGCAGGCTCTGACTGTATGTGCCATCTTGACTGTAAACAATGAGCTCCATCTTGAATTGGGTCCTCAGCATGGATTCTGCCAGTCATTCTTTATCCTGCTTTCTGCCAGGCATTCTTTTTCATGCTTGATGGCTTCAATCTTAGTCTAACAAAAAAAATAAAAAAATACTGAAAACTTCAGAACTTTCCATAAGCAGTGATAAAACAACAGACCACTTCTTTTTGGATTATGATTTAAAGGCATGGCTGGACATTTGTCACTGGAAAGCAATGGTTTGTAATTGTGTGAAATTACAACACTCATCAATTTGCCAGAAATGTGACAAAAAAAGTGGTTTGATATAAACATGGAATCTGTGTATTGCCAGAAACATTGGCATGAACACACACACACACACACACACACACACACACACACACACACAAAAAAACCTACCTTTGCTATTTTCAGAAGATTAGGGAATCCAACGAAGCCAGCTGGATGAACTTCTTTCTAACCACATCTATGTATAAAAACACAAGAACAATGTTAATAGCTCCTTTGCAAACTTTCACTTGCAAGCTTGATTATCCAGTGAGTCTAGCTTGACGGGTATCAGGAAATTGCACTGTACTTATTACTAAGCCACCTTTATCCAAAGCGAGATGTAAATCAAATGAGAAGTTCATGGGTCGCCTTTCAAGATGATCTTTGATATTTATTCACTAGGCAGCAAAACTCTTTACCTACAAACGTAATTACAGTTCAGTTGTGGCTAAGATGGTTTTAGATTTCCTGGTTTTCTTGACAATTCTTAAATTCCACCTTTGAGGCAACAGTTATAGAGAACGCCTTTGACAAAGCATGACAGCCTGTGCAAAAAGTGAGGTCCATATGAACAGTCAATACATTGTTGCATGATTAAAAACTGTGGAAATGGGGTGGGTGGGATGTGAAATATACAAAACAACACAAACCAGAGGTGGTCTTCAGCATCTTTAAGGCTGGTTCTTCCAACAGCTTGATCTGTTCCCTAACAAGTCCTTCAGAGGTCTTGTAATTGATCAATCCTGGAAGCTCTCTTCCCCGATAATTTGTTTCATAGTTATCGACTTCTTTCTCAATCTTTCTGTTGACTGCAAAGGAATTATGAATATTGTTAGAGGGTGCTCTTGTGTTTTATTACCACTGATGATTTTTTTTTAGAGTCTGTCAAGAGACCAGTGATTAAACTTAATTAGCTTTTCATACATTCAAGGAAATTAAAGTTGTCAAATAATCCAGACATGACTGTTTTTTAAATTAAAGCGTCAGAAAAGTCCTGATTAGTTGAATGTTACTTAGTTAAATTAAGTTATTAATTTAGGTAATTAACTGATTAAAACTGATGTTATAAAAGGGGATACATGGGATGTGAACATGGTTCAAGTATTTTTAAGGAAAAAAGGAAACCGGACACATAGGAGGCGCCAAATATATGCTTCACTCACAGGAATATCCTGAATGATCCAGGAAGCTATTCCATTTTGCCAATTCTTGACGAAGTTCTGGAAAAATCCGTATATCTGATGCACATTTAACCTCTTCCCAGTGGTCAGGTTGAGAGTATCACATGTGAAAGCTGTAACTTTCTAAATTCATTGATGAGATATTAAAGATTTCAGAAACTCTGTAATATCAATATGGCTAAATATGCATAATTTGATATAGTAGCTGTGTAGATTTCATGGTTGTACTCACATCAATGAAAAAGCTCAGTCTTTCTGCAGGGTCTGATGGGGGTCCGTTGCCGTATGCCTCCAGTTCCTTCTGTGTTTCGGCGAGCTTCATCTCGATTTGCTCTTCTAAACGAGGCAGGGATTTCTACAAAGCAGATTAGTCATATGAAAATGAGCTGTTTATAATGAGTCTAAAAATTCTGTAGGTTTCTTTTGTTGAAAGGGTTTATTTTACCTGAATGTGATGAACCAGCTCAATTGTTAGTCACAAGTCACCTGTAACTGGACACAACAGCCATGATTTACTAAAATCCCAAAGAGCGGGTACTAATCTGCATGTGCACTTTGTGGGCATAGTGCGGGTAGTTCACTAAGAGAAGCTGTGCAAATAATCACACATGCAAACAACACACCTTCTGAAAGGAAATATCAGAGAATTTTAAAATCATGATTCTAATGGAAATAAAATAAAAACCAAATCTGTGTAATTTATTTTAGTGAAATATGGAATAGTTTTGCTCAGTTATGCTCAGCTCTGAAATATTTAATCTGTACACTGCACTCTGTGTTTTCTGAGTAGTCTATAGTTGAAGTTAAGTATTTCGAAAACTTGGTGGGGCAGGATTATTTTATAGTGGTTGGTCTGACTTAAATTCATGATTCTTAAGTTTTTGGTTTAATTCAAAAGCAATTTTTTTGCAAATTCAGAATAATTCACTCTGTGAATGATTCATAGAATTTGCAGGTTTTGCAAGGTGTATATAAACTTATGACTACAAGACTACTTAAAAAACAACAAAGATTTTTTTTTTTAGAGCTGACTATAACTGGGCAAAACTATTCCATATTTCACTATAAAAATTACATATTTTTAAGGTTTTATTTTATTTCCGTTTTAATGGCCTGAAAAGCACAATTTAAAAATTCTCTGATATTTCCCAGGTTTTCCATGACCATGTATCAGTGGTTTGAGCGTGTTTAACTAGATGCAATTATGCGAGAGCTGTCATTTGCTCGTGTGGTAGTCAGTGACCGTCTTGAGAAGTGATCAGACATGAGGTGTGCAGAAGCCTGCTCAAAAAAAAAAGATGTGGAATTGACATGAAATTCTGTTCAACCACACTGTATGTCTCTAGTAATTTGCATATGTATTTCAATGTTTATATATATTTAAATAGTATGTGCTATCACAAAAAGAATACCCCACCCTTAGAACCGGCCTGAATATCTGTAGAAATATTTGTAGCATCTGTAAATATCTGTAGAATCATGTTTTAGTTTAAATCACACTAAATGTTTGACAGACCACTATTTTAGCTTGCATCTCAATAAATATACTCACCTGAAATGAGGATGGTCTTGGAAGAAGGCCTTCTCTGTTACTGTGGCCTCATTGAGAGTGACCTGATCTAAAATTTATTTTTGTCCCCTGCACCTTACAATCATGTAGCCTTTAGTAAGGTGAATGATCTCATTGTGCACCATGTCTACCACTGTCCCTTCAGTGCCCTTATCCACCAGGTCCCGCTTTGTTAAGATGCCTGTAGTAGACAAACAATGGTTATACAGATTCTGATTCTGTTTGATGTGTAGCATTTAAATGCAATCAGTAACTGCACTCCTCCTGATGCCATCTGTAATGCTTCTGTGGTTACTATGTCAACATTGCATGGCACTACTACCAGGTTGATTGTTTCTTGCTTTGTAACAAACTTCCTGATGTGTCTCTTAATCTAGAATAAATGCATTTGATTAATGTTCCTGTTTTGTCTTTAAATAGACCATGATTTCACAATTGTCTTTCCAACAAATTGTCATATAAAAAAATACAGTAAATGTAAAAATATTAAATGTACAGTTTGGAGGGGGGAAATGTGTTTAGTGAAACCATGCAAAAGTTACATTTACCTGATCTCCGATATTCTCAGGTTGACCCTTGACTGCCACTCGTGCGATATCAGGGAGGTCAATGAGAGTGAGGTCAGGAACATTGGCAGAGGTGATCTGCAGACTGATGAGATCTTCACTAATACACCTGGTCCAGCCATCTTATCCTGGGCTACAAACACAATTATATAAGAAATGTTGTCTTAGATAGACCTCAGGATGCATTTGTTTCTACCTTCACAAATCTTTTTCTCTACTTCTGCTGGGTCATGAAATTCTTCTTCATGGCCCAGGTAACTGATTCTCCCATGCCATTTATCCTCGCCCTTAGTTCTTATCATCTTGAGCTCAAGAGGGCATCGTGTATCAATTCCTGTATAAAACATGAAGGGTGTTTGCCAGACATAGTTTTCACACACACACACACACATATATATAGTCATATATGTATATGTGTGTGTGTGTGTGTGTGTGTGTGCGTGCGTGTGTGTGCGTGTGTGTGTGTTCTCTTTACCACTACCCCTGGGTAAAGCTACTCCAGACAGCGCCTCGAGAACAGAACTCTTTTTCTGAGCTTTGGTCTCCAATGACGGCGATGGCAGGCAGCGCCAGGTCCTTTTCGACTCCCAAAGACCGTAAATTGTCGATGGTGTCGATTTAAGGGCGGATTTATTCCTCATATTGCTGACTGAACGTGTAACTAATTTTCTCCATCCTTAAACAATGTTGAAATGTCAAAATAACAAAGCTACAAGTCAAAGTGTAAGAAGCATAGACTACTGTCCTCTACTACTGTAATAATGTTTCATTACTTTGTCACTTTATTAGGTAGCAAACCTTGCTAGTACTGGGTTGGACCCTCTTTTGCCTTCAGAACTGGCTTAATCGTGGCATATATTCAACAAGGTGCTGGAAACATTCCTCTGAGATTTTGGTCCATATTGACATAATAGCATCACACAGTTGCTACAGATTTGTCAGCTGCACAATGTGCACAAAGACATAAATCTTTCGTTCCACCACATTCCATTGGGTTGAGATCTGGTGACTGTGGAGGCCATTTGAGTGAACTCATTGTCAAGTTCAGGAAACCAGTTTGAGGTGATTTGAGCTTTGTGACATGACGCATTATCCAGCTGGAAGTTGGGTACTCTGGTGTCATAAAGGGGTGAAAGTTAAGTGACGTGTGGCCAAGTATGGTGACTCTGAATTTTTGCTCTGCATTTAACCCATCCAAGTGCACACACACAGTAGTGAACACACACACTGTGAGCACACACCCGGAGCGGTGGGTGGTTGGTTATGTTTAGCAATAATACTCAGGCTGTGGCATTTAAACGATGCTCATAGTTTAAGGAGCCCCACACCATTATACCACCAGCATGAACCTTACAATCTTATATTATCCCATTTTGGGGAGCCCGTGCTAATTTTGTGAGCCCTGTTCTTAGCTGAAAGGATTGGCCCATCTGCTTTAAAATTTGTTGTGTTAATTGTTCAGAGATGCAAAGATTCAGTTTCTGAAATGCTCAGACCAACCCATCTGGCGCCAACAACCATTCCATGCTAAAAATCACCTTTCATCCTTTGGTCATTAATATAAAATATGCAAGTAAAGAAATATCTGAACGGCAAAACGGAATGATTCCATCAATTAGACAATAGATTTTAACAAATAATGAAGATGTTTGAAACGTACATCTAACTCATGCACTGTAAAAAAATTTCACCCCTTTCAACTTAAAAACGAAGTTTTGTGGCTGCCTTAAAATTGTAAGTTAAATCAACTTAAAAGTACAAGATTTTTATTTTTTGCTTATAAACAGGGTTTTAATATTAAGAACAGTACACAACCTGCCTGTGCATGCTAATGAATGCCAGTATATGTATACAACAAGGGCACAAAAGTAGCAAAAAACGGCCATACAAAGCTGAAAATACACCCATACCTCATGGGAAACAACCACTGAGAAAAGCTTGAAAAAAAACACACATATACATTACAGTCATTTTTTTTTTTTAACATTTAAATGGAAAAAGATATCCGTCAGTGCACGATCGTAGTCAGTGAGTAATTAATGACATAATTTTCATTTTTGGGTGAACTATCTGTTTAATATGCCAAACCACACTGACCGGTGGATCTGCATCTCCAATCGCAGCGAAATCGTTTCCTCGCTCCGACATCTTCCACCCTATGACCCGGACACCGATCGAACTCAGCTGTCTAATGATCTAATGATAGAAATGTAGGGGAAAAAATCAGAAGTCGTTGAAATGTTGGCTTATCTTAACAAGATATGGTTTATATTCTTTATTTAGTACATAAATGCAAAACTTACCCCTCATCCAGTCTCAGACTCACAGACAAACAATGCCTGTAAATTGAAAAAAAAACAAAACACACAATTATGTAGGGAGAAAAAAAAAAACTTTAAAATGGTTAAAATATTGACCTATCTTAAGATATAGTTTATTCTCTTTATTTGGTACAGAAATGCAAAACTCACCCTTCATCCAGTCTCAGACTCACAAGCGTGTGCCTGTAAAAACAAAACAAAAAATTATTCAACTTAAATTTACTTGTAAACAACACACACACAAGCAAAGCCATTTCCTATATAACAGCCTCATAACCCTTTAATAACCTGAGTTGCCTAAAAAATATATTAAGATGGATGGTGATCCTCGTAATGTGCTCAGTCATAGCCTACAAAGGGAGGTAAACGGGAAATTGTTGGTTACTTGCTAATTACAGTTAAGCCCAAAGATGTAAGTTACACAACACTTTTACAGACTTTTTGTTCATGATTAAAATATGACCGATTCATACAACATAATGCATTTGTTTGCATTTACTGTTACCTGTAATCTGTTACCTTGAACGGTTGATAAAAAAAATAAAATAATTAAAAAAAACGCTTAACTTTAACGTTACTCAGTAACGAATAGCAACTCAAACGCACGAAGCCTGACTGGGATAAACTTCCAGTGGGCGCGAAAATGCCGAGTCTGCTCAGCAAAGCCAACTGGTACCCACTTTAACGGTAAAATACACCTATAATCGCTCAAATTGCCCATCTTAACTATGTTTAACAGGTGGAGAAACAAATTTGTGTCAAATCTCAAACGTTACATTACAATCTGCAGTGCTAATGCAGTTCAGCACAGCGGCCACCGTATCAGAAATGCAAAACTTGAAAGGTAAACACAGTTCGGAAAACAATGACAGAACATAACTAATTCTGCTCTATTCTGCTAAAATTAACAATAATCTCCCAAAAAATATGTTACACAAGCATTCACTCACCTCATCCACGTTGAATATGCTTCTTCGCGCCAGCCCAACGGACAGCTTCCTCAAGTTCATGAGTTGTTCGTCTGAAATTCCTCCGCGATTTAGTTAGTTCGCTGTATAGTCTGCCCGTGTCTCCTTGTTTGATGTTGCACTGCGATGTCTCATGTTTCAAACATGAGTCTAATGTCTAGATTTGCTGAATATTTTTTTTTCTTGGAAAGGACTTTGATATTAAATTAATGTACAAATTTGACTCCTGCGCATGAATCCATGTTCAGAGATTTGGCAGGTTAGTGCCAATAAGCTACAACTCAAAATGTTAGGTTCACTGAACTATATTGGGCTCTTTGAATTTCAGTAACATTAAACTGACTTAAAAAATCAAGTTGAATCTAGTATAACTTATAAAATTATTTTTATGAGTTAAAGTAACTTAAAAACATAAGTTGTCATGGCTTTTTCATCATATCATTTTTTACAGTGTGGAATTTCTGAATAATAACTCCATTAATTACATTAAATATTCAATTTATTATTAGACAATTAAAATAATAACACTTGCAACCACCCAGGGCCTTCTGTGCCTTTTCACTTCAAAATAAAAACTGTTTTTTTTAGGCCACAATTTTAAAAATATTAATGAGTCCACAAATCCCTCATTAACATAAAACAAGACCCAAAAAAAAAAAACTTTGATATTCAACATAATACAGTGTCATAGATCACTATTTTCCAGAGACACAAAATTAGCTCAATTATGTTTTGACTAATTAAAAATACCACAAATGTTGATATTCAGATGAAATGACAAAATTACAGAGTAGCCATTCGTCAAATGTACTGAAATGAGATATTGTGCTATCTATGGTCAAGAGAAAAACAAATTACTGTGATTCTAAACTTGATTGTCTGAATGTTTATCAGTAAATGCACACTGCTCTCAAGGTGGGCATCAAATTGGGGCATCCCATATCATCCCCTACTATAACTTTGCCATTATTATTGATATTGTTAAAAGTAAAGATGATGATGATAATAATAATAATAATAATAAAAATCTGGGGGTGGGGGGGTGTTTATCCTTAATCATACTGATCAGAGATGGATATGTAGACAGAGCAGCACTTAACAGTTCTTCTGACCAGTGGCGCAAAAACGGGGTATGCAGTATATGCAGTGCATAGGGCCAAAATCATTCTGTGAAAATCTTCTTTAATAAAACGTTATAAATAATCAAAAGCTTAGTTATTAAAAATAATTAATGCAACATTTTTATTTAACGGTTTTTAGCATTATAGCATATTTAGCATAATATTTTATTAAAAGCTTATTAAGACCCGGAACAGCCTTATTATCTCTTTGCGACCACAACAAACTGGAGACTTTTCAGACGCGCACTTCAGCTTGCCCTCAGCACGAGTCAAACGAGCGCGGAAAAGGTACATGTGCTAAATGAGCTTCAGTAGAACAACAGGGAACTGCGGTCTGATGAGATATGAGAACTTTCCTGTCCTGTCAGCCGTTTTACTGTGCTCACGGCGCACACTTCAACTGTAGCGAAAATGAGGCGCACGCTCACTTCATAAATAAACCGCACTAGAAACTGCGAGCATACATCGTCAGTTAAGTCACGAAATTACCAAAATGGCGATTAAAACTGCAAAACTGTGCATGCACGTATGTGCATTACATTTAAGAACGTCCTTCAGATGCATGCAGCCTACTTACATTTCAGTATATTTATATTCTGCAATTCGAGATCACAATAGGGCGCAAGATGATAGGCTAGGCTATGCAATTTTTTTATTTATAATTTACTGCACAAGTAGGCCAAATGTGAGCACAGTGCAGTTAAATGTACTAGAAAATATGAACTAATTTTTCGTTAATTTGTGAAGTACGAAAATGAAAAGGAAATGAAAACATTTAAATGCATGAAAAAAAAACGTATCTTACATTATTTTCCTTTGTACAGAGCTCGATTTAGGTATGACATGTGTAATCCAGGTAGATTCAATGAGTTGAAAACTCTTGCCACTTCGTACTTCAATACAAAATAATGCTGAACTCTGATAAAAAAGAGATTTTTAAATGTTATAATAGTGATTTTATAATGTTTAAATATAAATCCATTAGCAAAACATGTGAAAAGAACTATATTACACCATGGCAAATTTTCCATGAATTATCTCTTTAAGTAAAAATGAAGACAAAAACAACAACAAAATTCCAGATGTTCTTTAAATTAAATTTTACTACATAAGAATAATAGAATTTTACATAAGAATAATAATTTTGAGGCAAATTATATATATAGCTGCTTCTGCTGCTTCTGCTTCCCTGCTTCTGACCATTCAAGCACCAGGAATAACATTTGACCCCATATATGCTGTCTTATGTACAGTACAGTATAATGACCTGTGAAAAAAAGAAAATACATTTAAAGTTAACCCAGCATGCCTTTTGTGCCATTGAAAGCCCTAGAAGAGCTGAAATGAATTCATTTTCAGCTCACTAGCTCATCTTGGCATAGACAAATTCTTTAATCATGTCATTTTTAATGCTTTAAACTGGTGTTAAAGGACAGGAATTCAGCTGTCAATATATTGTGCTCTTGAAAAGTGGACAGTGGATAACCATCTGAAACTCCACTTATAAAATAAGGAAAATTACTCTTATTTAATAGAATAATTCTAGTATTTAAAATAATATATATTGAAGTATTCCTGCTTAAAACTTTATATAGTTTCTGAAATTTTGGTTGTAATAGTTGAACTAGTCTTCTGCAAATCAACAATTACATTAAAGGGTTAGTTCACCCAAAAATGAAAAATCTGTCATTAATTACTCACCCTCATGTCGTTTCAAACCGTAAGACCTTCGTTCATCTTCGGAACACAAATTAAGATATTTAATGTCCTGCACAAGACCCAAAAGTAGTACACAACTTTATTGACCAGTGTAATAATATTGCATAAAGAAGCACTTCAGAGGTAAATAATAATAACAATAATTTCACAAATCGATATATTGTTAAAGGATATTTAATGAAAAAATACAGCCAATGTTTCTTCATAAAGTGCTCAATTGCTATTTCTAAAATAAAACCATTAACCAACATTAATGTTTACATTCTTTGCAGCCAATGCTGCTCATGTTTGTCACAAGCAGCATGTGAATTTGTTGCATTTAAACTGCTGGAATCGACTGTACAAAGTGATTCTAAAAGGTAAACAAAATGCTGCGTGCGTTCATCAGACGGTCCTGGCGGCTCAGTAAGCTCTCTCGCTTTTGGCCAATGTCAAAGTCTTCTTTGAGCAGATTGTCTACATCATCTTTATTTTGCAGCAACTGCAACATGTTCCTTTGAAGCTCCAAAGCTGCTTCCTGGAGCAGCAGATAGCGGATCACCATTGGGATCTGGTCAGCTAGACGCTTGCTTGCAATCTGATGAGGTAGGTAAGACAAAATCTAAGATATACATAACAATTTGAGCTACATCTGATGGCACTGAAAGCTTTGGTTGGCACTCTTACCTTGTAGTAGGACTCAAGGTGCAACTTCATCTCGCGCAAAGTGGCACGACTGCCTGTGCAAATGTCTACACTCACGAAATTAAACTTTTTAGGTTTCCTATGGGAACTTTCATCTTCCTCCTCTTCCAGCATTTCCTTTGCATCTTGCAGGCTCTGACTGTATGTGCCATCTTGACTGTAAACAATGAGCTCCATCTTGAATTGGGTCCTCAGCATGGATTCTGCCTGAGATTCTTTATCCTGCTTGATGGCTTCGATCTTAGTCTAAGAAAGTATATAAAAGATTTGTTATTGTAAACTGTAGTGAGAATACAAATTCTTTAACTTTGTGGCATGATTCAAGGGCATTATTGAACGTTGAACAGTTATTATAAACAATCATAAAAAAGCTAATAAAATGACCGTTTAACCACTTTGAATTTGTTTATTGCCAGAAACCAGTAGCAGCTACTACCCATAAATGTAGGTTGGGCGGATTCTGGGTCATACCGAATCACACTGTTGAGCTTGGGAGGGCAGTGGCACACCCTTTTGTACAATCATTACATAGCCTACCTGCCTGCCAAAGCCAAGCACTAAATTTGAATATATCATATTACACTTTACCACAGTAGTCTAGAAACTGTTGAATACATTTACAAGTTCATTTGTTACCTGTGTGTATTCAGTTTATATAGAGCTGTTTTCTAATGCCCCTAGAGATGAGCTGTGGATGCCAGAAATGCTGGCATTAACACACAAAAACCTACCTTTGCTATTTTCAGAAGATTAGGGAATCCAACAAAGCTGAACTGGGCCAGCTGGATGAACTTCTTTCTAACCACATCTGTGTAAACACAAACATAATGTTAGTACAATAACTTTCACTTTCAAGCTTATCAAGTGAATCCAGTTTTGTCACGAGAAAGTGCACTAATGACTAAATAGCTACCTTTATCTGAATCATCACAATATCTTTAATAGAAGAAAAATCCACTTGGACCAACCTTGTGTTATATGCCTTACTCAAGGACAGAATGTTGAGTTCATAAGGCATCTTTCAATGTGATCTTTTCTATTTATCCACTAGGCAACAAAACTCTGTACCTACAAATGCATTGTGCCAACTGGAATGTTCAGGGGTCTGAGATTTCCTGGTTCCTGACAATTCTAGGTTTCCACATATTTTGGTCATGTACTGCATTATAAGAGTAAACTTATAATGGAAATAGAACAGTACCGTCAGAATAGCTTTACAACGTGTACTATAGCAACTACCTGAAAATTATTGAAGACTGTAGAAATAGATTTGAAAGACAAAAAGCAACACTAACCAGAGACGGTCTTCAGCGTCTTTAACGCCGGATCCTCCAACAGCTTGATCTGTTCCCTGACAAGCCCTTCAAAGGTCTTGTAATTGATGAATCCTGGAAGCTCTCTTCCTCGATACTTGGCTTCATAGTTACCAACTTGTTTCTCAATCTTCTTGCTGACTGCAAAGAGTTTTTGAACATTGTCAGAAAAATACATTGAAATCCTCAGCTCAATTATGAGTTCAGCTTCTAAAAGTGCTTTTTAGTGAAATGATTAACTTTTAGTTTTTAGTCATTTAGGTTGATCATTAATTGATTGCAACTCTGCTAAAATGTAAAAATGGTAAAAAGACATAAAAATGGTAAAATCATAACAGAAAAATCATAACA